GAGAGAGGGGGGGAAAAAAAAAAATCAGTGTTTTTTGTTAAAGTACAAACTTGCAGAAGAACAACCAGTTTGAAGTCTGTGAGGATGGATCACCTTGCTGCATTAGGTTTAAGTCCTGTTAAGCGCCCTGTCCAAGCAGGAAGGGTGCGAGTGTCCAAGAGGTTACTGTAAGCAAGCCTTTGTATTTACAACACATCCAGCGCTCCCATGGTAACTGCTGAAGGGTATGTACTCATCCTGAGGCAGATCAGGTAGCTCAGCTATTCCTCCCATGGAGGGAATGTGTAACCACCTCAGGTTTACTGTGAGGCAGAAGTATTCAACAGCAGTTTCTGTGAATCAGCTCATATGCACTAAATCTGAGCTTTAGTTTACTCCTGAGGATTTGCTGATTCAGCTATACGCTAAAATAATTTGGTTTTAATTTTTTAACATACTGTCTTTCAGTTGCTTTGCTATTTAATTGCTCCTGTTGATGGCCAGATCATTACTGTGCTTTGCAGATGAAGCAGAGGCTGTTCCCAAATCTACAAGGGTCTGGGACAGCATGTTGTGGTGGGATCCTTGCAGAACCAGCTTTGCTGCTGAGGCTGTAAGCTTTCAGGTTTACTAAACTGAGATAATTTGCAAAGGAATGTTCTGTGCTTATCTGAAAGGGGAGTCATGTTTTGGCCTAAAACTAGAAATTGCTTTGGGATGCATGTAGCAGTGAGTCCTGTCAGACTGAGTCAGTGCTCCGTGGACATAAACTTCTTCCTGTAATCTTTTATTTTTACATACAGTGTTTATTTTACATGTATATGAATACCTATTTTCACGTCTGTATTTTCAAGTATTTAATATATAAGTAGCTTCCAGTTGTGAGCGTAGGTGTCTCATTTGGTATCTGCAGTAGGCATCAAAATGTGTGCTGAGAGGTATGGCTGTAAAACCATGAATGTTGTTGAGAGACCCATGCTGACATCATTATATCACTGAAGGTCCTAGTCCCCTCCTTGCTTCATAGCAGCGCGAAACAGATCTCTGGAATTCATTTGGAGATGGCAGGCTGCTTCTCCGGTTTGTCCACATGGTACGGGAGACATGGGGATGCATTTTTGGGAACAACTGGAGCTGTCTTTAGGCACATCAGACTGAAATATGTTGCTCCTTGTAAAGTGTTTGTGCTCATCATGTGCCTGAGGTGAGTGCATGTGTCTGTGCCTACTCATCTCTCAGTTTTATGGAAACGTGTATGTACATGTAGGAAATATGGGCACACCATACGTGTTTGCAGGTGAAAGGCTGGTTGTACAAAGCCTCTTACTGACAGCACTGCAAATGATAGAAACGTGCAAAAGCTACAGGAGGCTTTTTCACGTCCATCCATGCTGTGATGACTTTGAGGATTTATCTGGACGTTTTATGTTCTAATTCAACGTTCATGAAAGCCCCAAATTTAGTCATAAATGACTCCTCCAAAGTAAACTTATGAAAACTTTAGGATTTTCTGGCTGAAACATTGTTTAAAACTTAAATGCTTAGAAAGATTTTCATTGCCTTGTTTTGAAAACATGAGTGTGAAAAGTGGGGAAAGCGGGGATGAGCCATCCCCATTTCCAGCATGAGGCAAGAGAAAGTGGTTGTCTAGGCCTTTGTGGCTGTAGTTTCTTAGTTTCTGTGGCTAAAAGTCCTGCAATTCAAGCTGTCCTCAGTGCTGCAATGGTCTCTGTACAAGAGCTGCTCTTACATTCCCTATGGGTTACAGTGCAGCAAGGGAAGAGCTGAGTTTCAGGCTGTAATTCTGAATTTCTTGCGCTCTTACAGGTTTTAATTCGGCTTCATGTTACTTGCAGAATTTTTTTTTTCTGATGTAATTGAGTAGTCAGTGTGAATTTTGTGGTGTTCGTGTGCATGCAAGGGAGAGGGAGATTTTCTAAGTGTTCAGTGTTCACATGGACATAAACAGGTGGGTTTCCAGCAGAGACATTTGCATTTGAAAACCTGCTCTAAACGGGCTGGGCTTTCCCAGGAGAAGCAGCACCAGCAGTGAAACGCAGCGATCGATCAGCATAGAATTGTGTGAGCATTTGATGGGCAAAATGTTGTGGTATAAAGACAGGGCCCAAGAATAAGCTCTTTGTGGCTTTGTTTCATTGCTGAAAACTGTGACTGTGAGAGGCTTTTATAATTTAAAAAAAAAAAAAATTAATCAGCCACACTTTGGCTAACCTGGAAAATATCACAAGATCTTTTGCAGCATTCTAAGTGCTGTTTCTTTAATCCAATTTTGATACTAAAAAATCATGTTTTTCATTTGTCTGCTTGTATTTCCCCAACTCTAAAAGTAAAGTAATAACTGAACCACTCCTTTCAGTCGCAGAGCTGAAAGCGTGTAATTTAGTGTACATAACGATAAACTCTTTCTTTCAAGCAGCTTGCATTCGCTATGTTTTCTTTCTATCCTAATTTTAACTAAAGAAAACCCTCCCTTACTTATCACAACACTTCTGTTACACGCCTTGTTTTTTGGGCCAAGTTCCTTATGTTATTGGGAGTTTATTTTAATTCTTAATCAAATGAGCTGTCCATGAAATTAATCTGAAAAAAAAGGGCTATAATAAATGTCCAAATACACACCAATGGGGACACCTGGTGGAGAAACTTCGAGTTGCCCAGGAAACCCTGCATGAAACCCGTGGATGAATGGGTGAGCAGGAGTTAGCTCGTCAGGGGCATGATGGCGAGTATTTTTAACTACGGCAACTCCAGGTAACTCACCTTAGTTAACCTGCCAGCTGTGGATGGCTCCCTCGAAGCATCCCGCACTTGCTGCTGGCCCAGGGTACGTGCACGCAGTTGTGGTGGTACTGATGCACAGCGAGTGGCGTGCGAGCACCAGATTCCTCGGTGTCTCTTGCTTAAGATGGCTGGGGAAAAAGCTGCAGTCACTGGCAAATGCTGTTTCTCTCTTGCCGCTGCAGAAGCTGCCATGTTCAAGGATTCTCAGATAAGCCGTATAGATAATTATTTAAGAGATGTCCTATTGATGTGTGTTTGGGAGGTGATGTGGGAAAGTTAGGTGAAGATCCAGGACCGTGTCTGCTCATAGCTGTGGGGCAGAGGAGAAAGTTCCTCTGAATTGTATCCTGTTCTGTATCATGAGAGATGCTTCAATCTCGACAGACAACAACTTGTGTACCCCCTAACATTTTCGAGTCTGCAGTGGAAGTCCTAGTCCTCCTCCAGTTGGCAAGGCCTCCCTTCCCACGCTCCTGTAAGAGCGGCCTTGGGAGAGATCACGGTGAGGACAGCAGCCCAGACTGGCTTCATCAACGAGCTTGGTCAGGGAGAGGGGTGCTGTGCTTTCCACTGACTTTGGAAGCAGGCAGGCAGTACTCGGTTCACCCCTGGGGTACTACATCCATGTCAGAGGGCAAATTATGGCTTCCAGGCTGTTTTATTTTTGCATGCTATAAAAGCTCTACCTGGCGCGGGACAAGAACAAGACCCGCAGACAAGGCGGTTGGCCAGGCAGCATGATTGCACACATGCTCTAGGAGCTGTGTGTAAATGGAGCATGCTTTAATTGGTGTGCAAATGGTTGTGGTTGGTTGTTTAACTTCTAGCTCATTCAGAAAGCAAGCATTAGCCTTTCCTGTGATGGGGCAGCAACATACAGATGGGTTCTGGTGTGCCTTCTGGCGCGTCCTGGCTGTGGAACATGGGATTATCTGGGGGGTTTGTCTTTCTAAGTAGAAGAGGAGGAAAAGAAAGGAATGCTTACAGTCGTGAAGAGGGAAGGATAATTGCTGGCTTTTTGCTTTGATGCAGTCTATTCTGACATAGAGTGAAATTTATAGCCTACTGGCTTTCTCATTGTTTGGGAAAGAAGAAACATGTTAATTACAATTCTGCACCAGAACCACCAGACAATTGGACAAGAAAGTGACTTTGACTTAGACCGTCACGAGTTGGGCAGCAGACTGTGGATTTTTATTAGATATAGCAGAGTATTATTTGTGTTTAATTCACATTCCAGAATCTTTTCTCTGTAGCAAATCAGAGTCACAAATTAAGTATGAATTGCCATCCCATAGGCATCCAGTATGATCTGCTGACTCTGCGCCCTCTCACAAAGAGAGACTTACAATAAATGAGAGATAAGCTAATTTTATTTGTTGGTATTCCTGTGCTGGGATTGATATCAAAGCAGGACACCATTTTTTGCCAGAGGACTTGAGAGAGGGCAATTTTAAAGTCAGTGCTTGAATTCAGATGGCTCATTGAGACCCCTTTCCAGCTTCAGGTGCTTCAGCTGACTCAGCGACTCCGCAGAGCTGGCTGGAGGCAGCCACTGTGAATAGCCACCAGTGACTGTCCTGGTCCAGACCAGAGGTCCCTGCCTGATGGCAGTCAGGAGCAGATGCTAACAGGAGTATTCCAGCAGACTTTATGGACTAAATATTTCTTGTTTCTTTTCCTTGCAGAAAACACCTTCTGCAGCGGTGACCATGTATCGTGGCACAGCCCTTTGGACAACAGTGAGTCTAGAATCCAGCATATGTTACTGACAGAAGACCCTCAGATGCAGCCGGTGCAGACTCCTTTTGGGGTTGTTACTTTCCTACAGGTATGACCCAGCAATGGTAGCTCTGACTGTCAGCTCCTGAGAGTGGAATGCAGCTAACATTACATTTAATTTAGCTTTGATAAGTCAGATGCTTATTATCCTATCTCCCACCCTTCTTCCTTATTTGATTACTCTGGATCTTATCTTTTGAGTTGTTATTCTGGAGGTATTCATAAGCATTTTACCAGGATTGAGCAATGGCACACTCGGTTCTCAAGGCAGAGGTCTGTCTGATGGAGAAAAGCTTTATAGCGTGAAACAGACCTGGAGCTGAATATTACATTACTGCTCTGAAATTTCAAACATGAACATAGGGAAAAAAGCTGAAACACTTTTAAAAGGTAATATAGAGCTAAATTCAAATTAATTCTATGGCAGTATAGGTAAGTGATCTAATGGTTTGAGTTCCAGGAAAAGAGGAGTTTGGAGCAGGACTCAAAGTTGCTTTAGCATTATTTAATGGCAGAAATGTAGCTTGCAGCATTGACACAAAGATTCTTTAGAGAGTTTTCCTGTATTGATCTGCAGTTTAAGAAAGGCTCAGGTTTGCTTTGCAAAAGAAACATTTCAAAAATCTCTTGTAATTTAACCGTACTGTTCAGTGAGGGGAGCTTCCTTGGCCAAACAGGTTTGCTTACGTTCTCAAAGTTGTCCTTCCCAGTGATATGTCTTAGATATGGGCTGCTTTGGACATTTTTAAATTGCATATGGAGTTATTAACCTCAGTGGAAGAGTTGGCATAGTTTATACCAACTGCTGATTTCTCCCTGCTCTGTGGAAAAAGTTCCCTCCTGTGGGAAAATTCAAGTGTCTGTGTTTTACAATTTAAGCTTCAAGTTGCTCCCATTTGTCCTTGGCTGTAATTGCAACACGTAAGGGGAAGCTCCTTTACCACAGGCCTGCACAAGGCAACTGCTGTGCAAGGGCAAAGGCTTTACTGAATTTTCTGATGTGCCCAAAATTCTGTGTTTTATCAACAAGAGAGAGATGGGTGTGGTATTAATCAGTGAAAGGTGAGTTGTGGGATCTGGAAGCAGAGACAGAGAGCCAAGCTAGGGTGATTCCTGGCTGACTCCCCAGTTATTGCTGCATTAGTCTGCATGTCTTCTTTAGTGCCCAGCCGTCCTGGATCAAAGGACAGTTAACTTGTTGGATCCTGAGGCTCTTGGCCTCTTATAATCCACAACACATACAGTTGACTTGTTTTTCCCCTTCGTTTGATGCCTGTTGTTATGGATTTATTTGGACCATGAGGATAAATAAATGCAAAAAGAAAAGAATGAACACAAAATAATTTCCTGTTTAGAGTCATCTTGTTTGTATGTAATTAGTGAGTGAAGGCCCAGGGAGGGGTGTCCTGAAGCAAAGGTGATTCAGGCTGTTCATGGAGGAAGCCTGGGAGAAGGGTGGGGATGCAGTGCATCTCCAAGGGCTGGGTCCTGAGAAAGTGAGCTCTGCAAGGGGCAGAGGAGGTAGGGTGTGCAGAACTGGGTACATGCTGACGTTGATGGTTTTCCACCCAGATCTCTATCAGTGCAGATACACGCTTGCGGCAAAGGCACATCATGCACTTCTGCTTGCTGCTTTTCAGAACTTAGTGTTTGGTTTTCTTCTTTTCTGATAAAACATCAGTTGAACAAATTTTGACCAAAAATCCAGTGTCGTTGGAAAAGGCTTAGAGTATTGAGGAAGAAAATAGAAGGCCGTGGCTAAAATAATTTTTCATCCCAAAGAGTGAATCATTGTGCTCAGAGGCACAAGCCAGTGGTTGATGGATCAGGAAGAAACTGCCTTCCTCTATCAGCTGAAGGGTGTTTCACCCCTTCGTTTGAAGCGGCTGATCTCAGCTGCTGCGAGAGGGACATCTGCAATTGCTCAGTGTGGCAGCTCCCATCCTGAAAAGCAAACACATCCTGCCTTATACAGGAAGGCAGAAGCCTGCAGTTGCCTGCAGTGAAGAGTAGATTATGCGATGTGTAAGCAGCTTTACTTTGTGGTGCCGGGTAAGATGTAACTAGTCAGCAAACTGAGCTGGTCAAGGATTAATGAGCACCAAAGCATTCCCTTGTGGCAGTGGGTCCCTTGCCTGATCGAAATTGCTGGTGCGGTATTGCGCTTGCCCCTGGCAGTTGGCTGACAGAGCAGTGTTTTGCCTGTGCTCAGACCCTAACCTGTCCTGTCTTGTGTGGACTAGATTGAATAGTGAGAACAAACTAGTGGATCTTCGGTAAACCCTGGTTTGTCACCAGGCCCTCCTCATAGTTAAGTTCATGAATGCCATGCAAGATTAAATCTTACGTGACCAGGATACTTCACATGGTAAGTGTAGAGAGAGGACATAAGGAATTGCAGCATCCGTCTGTTGTCTCAGGCTCCATGTGTCCTTGCTCATCTGATTAGTTTAAAGAAATGGTGCTTCTCTCTGTCTGCACTGTTTGATCCAGCACCACGTGGCACATTTTCTCCACAGTTCTTGCACAGTTCCCATCCAGTTTTAATATCTCTGTTTTCATTTACTCCAGATTGTTGGAGTTTGCACTGAGGAACTGCATGCGGCTCAGCAGTGGAACGGGCAAGGCATCTTGGAACTGCTTCGGACTGTCCCAGTGTAAGTGCTTATATAGCCCCATATAGGGGAGCATTCCTGTAGAGAACAATTCATTGTTTGTTTTTATTTACAGTCTTTAACTTGTTGATGGAACTTATTTAATCCTGTGCTGTAGCAAGAGATGGGAATTCATTGCAAATCTGTTCTCACGCACAGACACTTAGATGGCAAATTAATGCATGTGGAAGTCCACATGTTCAGGGTGAAATAGAATGAGGACTTGAAAGCTGAGTTTCCTTCCTCTTATGCCTGCAGCATTTTCTCATTGGTTCTTCCTGAGAGAGCTGGGATAACTTACTGGTGACCTCTCTGTGTAGTTCAAAAGAAAGGAAGGAGAGGGTCTGGCTTACAGTGCCTAGCAAAGCTTGGGTACTGGTCTGAAAGTGACAAAGTCACTCTCAAACTGGTCCCACTCTCGGTGGGGCAGTCTGAAGTAGGAGGAGCATTCATGCAGGTGAAGTTCATGTTTGTTTCTCCCGTGACAAAATAAAGATGCAGTTGGGTTAAGGAGGAGGTGGGTTTTAAATGTTAAATGATACGTTGATGCTTTATTTGCTGCCAGGTTGCAGCTAAACTTTTTGGGCTTGCAAGTGTTTTGTTTAAATATTTTTTTCTTATATTTAGTGGAAGTTATTGCTGTGTGATTGTAGCTCAAAAGATTTTTATTTTTTTTTTTTTTTTTGAGATAGTGAGAAAGTGAAACCCTTTTCCTTCCTTTCCATTATACTGAATATCCTGTTTACCAGGGAATGGAGGCACCTGACTTCTGATCTCCAGTGAGCCGTTCCTTCTCACTGATTTAGTTTTCATGTTAAACAGTCAGTTTTAGTGCATAAGGAATAAGAATAACTAGAGGGGAAGAACACCTTAGCTTTTTTTTTTTTTTTTTTAAATAAAGTGTCTCTGAATATGTGTTCCTGGCCATAATAGTACACTCTCTAGTGTCACAATGGCCTTTAATTGATTGATTATTTGGAAGAGTCCAGCCTTTGCTGCTGGATTTCTTAAACTTGAACTTTTCCCTTTTAGGCACAAGTGCAGATAATTCATGCAAATGCCCTAGAGTAGACTGAATTTGCCCAGCTGCAAGCTTTGTTTCTGGGACCCCAAGACAATAAAACACTGCCTGCAGCTCCCTTGGCTCTGCTAAGTCAATACAGATATAGCACCCGTCTCCTCAGTCTGTTCTCATGTTGGTTTTTGGCTCTTGTGCTGTGGTAGAAGCACCTTTCCAAGGATAAAATGAAACCCAAATGTGCATGATTCGAAGGCAAAGCTGCAAAACTACTAAGCCTCTGATGTGGAGTCAGGGTAAAAATCTCTTGCATCCCAGCGAGGGACTGAAGCAGGTGGCACCTCTGCAGTTAATAATCAATAGCTTTGAAAGCGATGTGAAAAAAGAGTAGCTATCAATGCATCTTGAAAAGCCATAAATACTAACTTATTGCTCCCGTTTTAAGTGCCTTAGGAGACTGTAACACAGACAAGGCCAGAGGAGGGGGCTTTTGACTGCAATAACAAAGTATCTCATGAAAAAATGAGAAGTTTCATTATGGCAGTTCCAAAAGACTTCAGTTTTTACTTCAAATGAAAAGCACTGTCTAAGGCTGACTTCTGCATTCTGTCTGCACTGTGACCCAAAGTCAAATCTCCAAGTAGCTCATCTTCACAATAATCTGTTTTCTATCACCTCTGTTGGGAAACATCTTCACCCTTCTGACTTTCATTGCTAATGAAAACAAAGATTTTCCTGAACCATCTGAGTACTCAACCATTAAGTACCAACTAGGCAAAATGTCTATTGTGAGGATATTTATCAGAGCAATAAGCTTTTTATGGTACTGAGCATGACTGCCGATCTCGGCAAAAAGTCTGGTCCCATTGGGACCCTGCTGCATCTTTAGATATGTAATAGAGGTATAAATCTTGACCCCATGCCTTGCCCATCTTTCTTAGACCTAGGCTACACTGTACTTCTCAGTCCCAGTTCAGTTACCTGTAAATTAAAACCCAGTTCATTCCTGTATGAGTAAGTGGGTCTACACGGGATAGCCTGTGTCAATCCTGACTGCTCTGCAAGACTGGATGGTGCCAGACACCAGGCAGCTAACAGCTAGGTTGTAGAGGGCTTTCATTATGTATTTGGGAAATGTAAAGGACAAATGCACGTTATGTGATGTATACACAGCATAGAGGGGATTCTAGGCTTGTTTTGAACTCTGTCTTGTGCTTCCTTGCAGTAGAGGTCCACTCTGAGAACTCTGTTGGGGACTACTAGCTAACATGCTTGTTTGGTTCATTACCTTTCTTTCTTTCTTTGTAGAGCTGGAGGCCCCTGGTTGATAACAGATATGCGAAGAGGAGAGACAATATTTGAGATTGATCCACATCTGCAAGTATGTCTTTAGTTAATAAAATGTCATCTCTTTTGTATTATCCAGGGAGAATTGGTTTAATGGTATAAACAGTTTTATTACTTTCTGTGAAGGTGCTGTGATCTTCTCAATGTTTGCAATAATCCCAGAAAAGTCTTAGAGAGATTCCCTTTGCCCTCTCAGAGGTGGTTCAAGAGTGCACATGCCCAGCCCCAGGTGGATGGCAGCTACAGGAAGAAATTTAGAGAAGGCAGACCAGGAAAACAGAATATCATATATGAGATAAATTGGTAAGATTTGGACTGCAAAAGGAAGAAAATAGAAGAAGATTAAATCTTGTACTGTTCTATGTTGTTTTGAGACGATAGATCAGGAAATTCCTCCTTTGTTTTATATGCAAGCATAAAGAGATATAACATGCAGAAAACTAAAAACCAAGTAAGTAATATTTTTTCACAGCAAATGTGACAGTGTAGCTCATTCCTGTAGGATGTCACTTGAGGCCAAGTAGTTAGTATGGTCTGAGAAATAATGGGAAGCCAAAAGTATCTCATGCAGTTATTAATAATCCGTGCAGGGAGATATATTAAACCCTCTTTTTCAGAGTTCAAGTTACTTTCTGAAGTTTAAAGATCAGAACAGGACCTCTACGGAGGGGTTACCATCCCATGGGGTATTGCTGACTGCATTTGGGAGACAGTTCTGCATCCCAAATGCAGAGTTTTGGTACTGGAGTACATGGGTCCCAGGCAAACCAAGTGTGGTGCTGGCCTTGTTTCAGTGAATCACTGAGTGTTTGCCTTTAACAGAGAACTTATGGCTTAGCCTGGGACGGCACGTGCATATGTGCACGTTTTGTACAAGCTATTGCATTTGCGTATGGTCTGCGTGTCTGCATCTGATTACCCTCAGTTGCCTCACAGCATCTTTTATTTTGAAAGCTTAAGAACAAAACCAAATTCTACTTTTACTGTTTTTAAGGATTTGTTCATCTAAAATAATCCCGGTCTGAGACACACACACAAAAAAAGTTCCAAAAATGTCCCACAGTGTGGGAGCTATTACAACTGCAAGTCCTATAAAGTTTTTAGGCTCTTCAAAATTTTGCCCTCTCCCCTCCTGGAGGGTGTTTGTCTGTTCTCTGCACACTGGTGATTCCTAATGATAACAGGGTTTTCTTCAATTTACTGTAAATGAAAAGTAGCTCAGCTTACTGGAATCTGAGTCAGCCAAGGCAAGTTAAGGCAAATAAAGAGTACCTCTGCCTCAACAGTGTGTCCTACCACTGAAAGCTGCTATGTCTGTGGTCTTTCCGGACTTCCTCACATTGAAGACATTCCTGTTTCTGTTCTCTCTTGCCCTTGCAGTAGTGCATGTGTGCAGGTGTGTGTCTGCCTCCTTCCTGCTCTGCTGCCGCAGCCCCTGGGGATTCACAGGGCAAAACCTGCTGCTGCGGCGCTGAGTCCCACAAAAAGCCTTTGCTGAGTGTGGGGAGCAAGGCTGTGCTGGGCTGGGTTCAGCCACATCGTGCACCTCCTGCTCTAATTAGTGGGGAAAGGATAAAGTCTCACTCACTTGGCATTTTCTTGGTGGTGGTAGAGGGTCTGTGAGAGCTGGAAGGCAGCAGCAGGAGATAGGTGGAGGGGAGAGAGGGAGCAGGCAGAGAAAATGGACAACTTTCCCGGGAGCAGGCAAGCACGTTGCCTGCCTGGGAAGCGGGCAGAGCTTGTTTTGAGGCTGCATTGTCTCTTGTGGGAATTGGTTGAGGCCTAAACCCAGCCCTGGCAGCAGCAGCTGTACTTTCTGTTCGAAGTTGCCGAGAATGGATCCCAACTAAGATGTCATCCCAGGATGTCGGCAATTAATGCTGTGGCAACGCTGGCTGTTTTCTGTTCAGCCAGGCTTCCCTGTAGGCCATTCAGATTTCCCTGGCAGCACTGTCAAACAATCCCTGTCGGTCCCCAGCTCTGTGCTGATTCTCAGTGCTTTGCTTCTGTTTTAGCAGATATCTCAGAAGGGAATAAAGCTGATTTGAATTTCCTGAGTTGTGGTTGCTGCTCTGCGGGTCACGCTGCAGTGCTCTGGCTCGTTTAGAAAGGGATCAATGACTTAGAAGAGCCTCAGAGCATCCCTCCCACATGCTGAGAGGAAAATGGGACAGAAACATCCTTTCTTTGAGGAAGGAAAAAGCTGAACCTCCTTTGCCCTGGGCTCCTCCAACCTCCTGCCCAGGCTGCCCTTTCAAGGGAGGAAAAACAGCTCCTCAGCCCAGGCACATCTTCGCTGGCTAAAGATGGGGTAAAGCTGTGCATTGCCCCAGCTGAGAGGCTGCACTGGTTAGGGTTTGTTTTGGTTTGGTTTTTTCCCCCTTCAACATCAATACTTGCAAACGTTATAAAACAGGCATGCAAATTAGGCTGCCTTAGGCCAGCTCGTTTCCATCAGCCCCCCTTGATCTCCAAGGGACGCCAGCAGAGCAGCACTTCTTCCCCTGAGGAAGTGCTCTGCAAACCAGCTGAGATGCAGATGATGAGTCCCTTTCCCCCTCCCCAAGGCTCTGCGCGCTGTCCGGAGGCCCCAGCCGTGTCTGAGCTGGGGCCCTGGCTGCAGGGGTGGAGGAGCATGTCCCACCTCTGCCCGATGGAGTCCTCAGCGCCTGCTGGGCTCTTCTGCTCCCGGGCAAATTTAGTGGCTCTCCCATGCTTCCCCAATTGCTGGAATGAAAAATAACCATGCTGACAAGTTAAACCTCCCCATGCCAGCTGATCTGGGTCCTTGCAGAGCCACGCAGAGGGCTCCCAAAGGAGCCATGTGCTAAATCTCACTTAGAGCATCATTTGCATATGTAGGCTCGGATGTATTTTTATTTCTTTTTCCACAACTTCTATTTCTGGGTGAAACAACTGATTTTATGTTTAGGATATAACAAAAGAAAATCCCAGCAGATTTATTATTTCTCAGATTTTCCTATTACATTTTCATAGAAGCCAGTTTTCCCTGACGCCGGAGAAAGATCCCAGCAAGGACTTGTCTTTCAGGCAGATGAAGGCAGTCTCTTGAATGCTTAAATCTAAGTCAGGACTGCTCTGGTCGTGTCGCCAGCCACAGGCTTTTGCCCCCGCCCTTTGGC